GTACCACCACATCAGGCCTACTTAGAGCTTAAAAGTACCATTAAACTGTGTTAATTTTATTATGTGGAGAAAAAAATATTAACAGGTGATTTGTTTGGGGTTTTTTTTTTTTTTTTTGAACTGGGGTTTGAACTCAGGATTTTACACTTGCAAAGCAGGCACTCTCTAACTTGAGCTGCACTTCCAGTCCATTTTGCCTTGGTTACTTTTGGAGATGGTGTCTTTGGACCTACTGGCCCAGGCTGGCCTCAAGCCTCGATCCTCCCCATCTCAGCTAGGACCACAAGCGTGAACCACCGCACCCAGCATTAAGAGGTTTTAAGAACTGACTACATTCACACTGGCACAAGTAGTCTCAAAGATAAAAATAGTAAGGTAACCATGGCTGGTAAATGATTGTATTATACTACCTGTCACAATGCATATATACCTGTCTACATGGGAGTTCCTCTCCATTACATATGCCAAGGAGTTATTTAACAATGGAAGAGATGCAATGAAATTATATTTTACATGTACCCATGTGCACTCGCTGATCTTAAGTTAAAAATACAAATCAAGAGCTGGGCGGTGGTGCCTCATGCCTGTAATCCTAGCTACTCAGGAGGCAGAAATCCAGAAATCAGTGGTTCGAAGTCAGCCCAGGCAAACAGTTTGTGAGACCCTATCTGGAAAAAAACCCATCACAAAAAGGGGCTGGTGGAGTGGCTCAAGGTGTAAGCCCTGAGTTTAAACCCTAGTATATCACACACACACACACACATACACACACACACACACACACACACTCAATAATTATCTGCTATTCTTGAAGCTCTACGTACAAGATCCTGGACCCAGCCAATGATCCAGGTGATCCCTACTGGAGGCTGAATTTCTTCCAGAACATTATCCAACATAATCCTTACCTGAGAGTTCAAACTGATAGATCGCTTGTGTGGCTTTCACAACACCATCATTGAGAAAATCCTTGACAATTCTAAATGTTTCTTCCACAGCTCCAGAGCGGGCTTTTGGTTGTTGTGGCTGAGGCTTCTCTTTTAATTCTGGCACAGGACCTATAAAATATTATTCATGTAAATGGCTTTATAGCCTTGGCAGTGTAGGGCCACACACAGAATAAATTAACAAGACAGACTTGCTACAAATAGAGCTATTTGACCGAATGGCTTTAAATGCACTAAGTGGCACGAATAGCCCAAATCTGCTGGGGGAATGGCAGGCAAATATGTCAGTTGTGACTGCGATGTGGTGGCTTAGACTCTCCAAGTCAAAGCGGACTTTCAGATGAAGTTAAAAAACAACCAACACCACTACACACACTCATTACAATAAACAGACCTAGACAAAACTACTGCTGTTTGGGAGTGATAATCAACCATTCCTTTATATCCCCTCTGAGTTCTAATGAGGAAAAAGACCCTGGAGTCAGAAAGATGAAGATCAAATACCAACTTGTAATTAGTGGAGCTGAAGTGGAAATCATAGCCTGCACCAACAGCTGAGTGAACTTCCTAATCACTTCACCTCTAAGTTAAATTTGTTCACCTAATCTCTTCACCTATGGATGGGACTTGCATGTTCCCATCAGAGGTTAGGTACACTCGGTAAGAAGAGCTCATGTGAACACAGAGAACAGCCTGCTCAGAGGGTCAGAGCCATGCAGGATCAGTTTCTTCTCCCCATCTCACTCATCCCAGTGCCTCCTAGTGGATGAGAAGAGAGGTCAGGGCCTGGCATGTAGCTCAGTCAGACAGCATTGCCCAGCATGCTTAAGGCCCTGGGTTTGATCGCCAGGGAAAGAAAGAAAAAAGGAATAGGACTGAAAGGAAAGGAAGAAAGAACAGAAAAAGGAAAGGAAAGGAAAAGAGGGGAAAGGAAAAAAAAAAGCAAGGAAAGAACTATGAGGCTCTGGGTTCAAACCCCACTCCTGAAAGACAGATAGATTAGATAAATAGATAGACAGATAGATAGATAGATTAACTAACAAGCAAACAAACTTGCATCTACTTGTCCCACTGGTTCTAATAATTCTGCATCTGGTTACCCAGGAAGAAGGTAGCAGTTCATAGAACTTTCTGTCCCCACATCATGATACTGGCCCCTAATACTCATCTCTGTTCCTTTTTTCTCCTCCTGGATTTACTTGGGACAGTTAGTAGTTGCCCCACAGAAACAAGTAAGAACAACTCATTAATTAGCTCCAGGACAATCTATCCTCTAGGCTGAAAATTAACTCCCCATCTATCTCCTAACTCAAATTATACTCTGCCATCTTATCCAACACAACTTTCCAAAGGTTACAAAATAAAGTCTACTTGACAGCATAAAGACCTCCATAGTACTAAGAAAGTCACATAAAAGTCTATCAAGTGTCAATTGCCTTCCATTATGATGTTTCTAAAGACAAACAAAAAAAATCTTTCTCTTCTTAAACACCAAGCAGATATTAAAGATGAAATCCTTAAGATCCAATGAAGAAGAGACTTTTTTAACTTTTATTCAGTTCTACAATTATTTTTCAATTCACTAAAGACAATGGGCTCTTTTATTGCCACTTTCACTGCCTCCTGCATGGCATGACACTGCTTCTTACTGACATATAACATTTGTATAGAAACAGAGATTAAATGTACAGCTCAATAACTTACCATGAAGTGAAAACCCTATGTGTCATCCCCACCTAAGCCAAGAAGAAAGACATTACTGATACCCCCAAAGCCCTTCTGTGCCTTCTCCCATTTGTTGACAGCATATATTCATTTTGTCTCATTTTTGCCTTTAAGTAAGTGGATACAGTCACATACTGTCTATTCTTTACGTCTGCTAATCCTTTGCAAACTCTTCCAAGACATGCAAGAGGAGGTAATGATTCCTAATTTGTTCTGAACCTAGTATTCCCTTACGACCAAATTTAACAAAGATATCCTAAGAAAACTGTCTAGTATAGACCAACAACATGAAAATAAATAATTCACAGGTACATGTGCTAAGTCAAGAAGAGACAGGTACAATATTTTTTACATTTTTATTAGCATGTATTAGTTATATGGGGTGATCACTGTGGTACTATTTTTAAAAAGAGCAAGAACTGGGATAGGATGGGAGACTATTTTAGAAAAGGTGGTCTAGCAGAGTGGCTCAAGTGGTAGAGTGCCCGCCTAGCAAGCGTGAAGCCCTGAGTTCAAGCCCCAGTACTGCCACAAAAAGAAAAGATGGTTGGCTAAATAGACGAACTACATAAGGCTGCATATGTGAACACACACATACACACCATTTATTCTACAACTTTTTTTTTGGCTGGTGCTTGCTAGACAAGCACTCTACCACTTGAACCTTGCCCCAGTCCTATCATACGATTTTAAAATACCACATTTTGTCAACAGCTCCTAGAAGATTTGAGAGGCTTCTCTTGATCCCCAGTGATAATATCTAATATCTTATAACCTTTGTAATGCTTATAATGCACAGTGCTTTTGCCCAGTACATCCTTGAAAATAAATTATTTTCCAAATGTACTCTAGCGTAATTAAATGAGACAGGTTTCTATACGGTCGTATTACTTGGAAGCCAATTTATAAATTAAGGTATATATTGCATTCACTCACTCGTTTCTTATTTCCTTATTGTGGTGTTGAGGATGGAATGAAAAGCCTTGCAGACAGTGGGCAAGCATGCTACCACTGAGCTACATCCCCAGCCCTGAATTCCTATACTGCAGTGCAGAGATGGAGATCATCACATATTGCCAGCAGGTGCATAAGTCTGGAATGAAACTGGGTAACATGTATCAAGATGCCTTACAAAAGGGCCTTCCTTTTGCCTGATTACCCACTGTTTGTGATCTACTCTAAAAAAATCATGTAAGAACAAAAACTTACACAGTAATATTTATAAAATGAAACAATTACAAATCAGTAAGATTAATATATTCATGTGATATAATACTAAGTTGCCATTTCAATAGGTTTTCATTTATTTAGGGTTTTGGTTTTTTTTTGAGGTGGGACCTCACTAGGTAGCCCAGGCTGAACTCACCACTTTCCTGCTTCACCCTCCCAAATACAAGTTGTTTTTTAAGACATGGAAAATATTTACAAAATAATTATAAGCAAAAAGGAAGAATTAAATATAATGTAATCTAATCTAGTGA